ACACACTACATAAACACACACCGAATTATATAAACACACTACACAACCACACTGCATTATATACCCACACTACACAAACACACACTGCATTATATACCCACACTACACAAACACACACTGCATTATATACCCACACTACACAAACACACACTGCATTATATACACACACTATACAAACACACTGCATTATATACCCACACTACACAAACACACACTGCATTATATACACACACTGTACAAACACACACTGCATTATATACACACACTGTACAAACACACTGCATTATATACACACACTGTACAAACACACACTGCATTATATACCCAGTGTGTTTGTGTAGTGTGGGTATATAATGCAGTGTGTTTGTGTGCATTGTATACAAACACACACACTATACAAACACACACTGCATTATATACACAGTGTGTTTGTGTAGTGTATGTGTATATAATGCAGTGTGTGAGGGGGCATTTTTTATTAAATTATTTTAAAAAAAAATTATATTTACTTTATTATTTATTTTTGTTGTCCCCCCTCCCTGCTTGTTACCTGGCCAGGGAGGGGGGATATGACAGTCCCTGGTGGTCCAGTGGTATTGGCTGAGCTTTGGGGGGGGCGGGCATCAAGCGCTTACTCACCTCCCAGCAGCTCCTCCAGCTCCCCAGTGTAACTCTCGCGGCCAGCGTGTCGCGCGCAGCGTTGCCATGGTGATCCATGGCAACGCTCTGACGGCCGTGGGTCTCGCGAGAGTTACACTGGGGAGCTGGAGGAGCTGCTGGGAGGTGAGTAAGCGCTTGATGCCCGCCCCCCCAGGACCGCCGGGCTTGTAATGGGCCTGGCGGTCCTGGGAGGTATTATCGGCAATATCGGTATCTGAATTGGCCGATACCGATATTGCCGAGAATACCGAATATCGGCCGATTATATCGGTAAAACCGATAATCGGTCGATCCCTAATACAGTAGTCAGATGGCCCGAAGTGGTTGACGACATGGCCTCACTGTCGGCCAGTCCTGTAGAACACCCCCTAGAGAGCTTACCACATAACACCATCCTTATGGAGGTTTGGATCTTGATGAGGAAAAAACGTGCCTTGTTCCAGGAGTCCCAATCTTTTGGCACCCAGATCCGCCAACTATCCATCAATACGGAGGAGTGCTGCTATGCGTTTCTCAAAGGAGAGGCAAACGTTGGTGTTTCTGATGAAACAGAAACATCTCTTAGCCCATTCATGAATATCGTGAGCCCATTCCCGGACGGTGCTGGCATTGTCAGGTAATTTACCCTTGAGAGGGGGTCAAGAGTCCAGGAATTTGCCTTGAGGGTCTCTGAAACCTCTCCTGCCTCCCTTGCGGGACACGGTCACCCAGAGCCATGAAGGTCATCATCTGCTGATCAAACACAGGCGTCTGTGTCACTGTCTGGGAGAAGGGCATGTGCAGTCTGACCGCAAGCGGTTACGGACATCATTATCTAGAGGCTTGCAAAGCCATGGGTGCATAAAGTTAGCCAAGTGTTCGAGAGGGGAACATTGACCAGTAGGATCTAGAATCGTTTTTGTGTCTTCTTGGTCAGTAGCGTGCGAGGAACCATCACCCTCAGCTACCTGGTGCTCACCCAGAAAAACCTCTACACGAATGCGAAGCCTCCGCGTGCCTTTGTTCGATGATGGACAGATAATGTTGCAGACCCCAGCTGAAGAGTGGCCTAACCGTGGGGTCAGGGCAGGTGCCAGAGTCAGCGTACTGCATTTGGCGGGGGCTTTGTCATTAGATTGTAGGGGTCTAGTGTCTTTGCCATTCCAGTGGCGCTTCCTATGATGAGGGACCCCTTAACAGAGACATACCAGGCATGAGAGTCCGTCCCATAGTGGCCTATATACTAGTGAGGGGATCAGCTATCCTGTCAGTACATTTGAGAGTGTTTTCTCCACGAATGCAGCCACCGTTGTGTGTATCATGACCTGAAATTCCACAGGGTTAGCCAGGGAATCTTCCATAGAAGCAAATTGTATTACACAGAATTGGGGCTCACCCAAAAAAGTAGACATGTAGATTTATCATGCTATGGGATACCCCTTGTGGCAGACCGCCTCACACCCCGACTGGGTACCTCTGCCAATTGAGCTTCATAGTAGTCGCAGAGTACCATAAGCACCGCACCAGACACCAAAATCACTGTGGCCCCCCTTAACCACCTTCCCACCCTGAACCAACACCTGGATCCAGCTCCCAGTGGGAAGACCTCTCCTCCAAGGAGTATAACAGGTATAGCAGTGATTACAGCAGTGTAGCTGTTCCCCCCCCACACGTGAGCTGAGGCTTAATGCTGGGAGTAGTCAGTTTATTTCCAGCCAAATGGCTCACTTATATACAAAATCTGAGCACAGTGACACACCCAAAATACACCCACAACATGCCCAAGAAATACAGTGTAACTATGACTCAGCATTAAAAAAAAATAGACTGGGGCTCACCCAGTAAACAGAGGATGCAACAGCATGACTCCACCCACTAACTTTGGCCAGTGTTTGTGACTAAGTGGCTACTAAAAAGGACTATGCCATACACTCTCAAAGGCAACGTAACCAATCTGGCAAACTTCCATGTGAAAAAACGGCCTTATATTTTACCCTGTAACTTTCAAAAACACTATAAAACTTGTACACGGGGGGTACTGCATACTCGGGAGACTTTGCTGAACACAAATATTAGTGTTTCAAAACAGTAAAACGTATCACAGCAATTATATCGTCAGTGAAAGTGCTGTTTGTGTGTGAAAAAACTCCACTTTCACTGAAAATATCATCGCTGTGATACGTTTTACTGTTTTGAAACACTAATATTTGTGTTCAGTGAAGCCTCCCGAGTAAAACAGTACCCCCCATGTACAGGTTGTAGGGTGTCATGGAAAGTTCTATCAGTGCTAGCTAATTAAATTCTCTGGACTTTCGGCCTGGGTTGTCAGGCAGGTAACCCAAATTGCAATCAAAATTACAGAATTATGTAAAAATATTACATAAATATACACGTAGAATTTAAATATATATACATCTTTTTCTTTAGAAGTTCTTTATTTTGTTTGTACGGATATTAAACATGTAATTTGCACTTCCACAACAGCTGGTGCAAACAGATTTGCATTCACTTGTATTCACATGGCATCAAAAGACATTGCACTTGTTTTGTTATACAGGGAAATAAACAGGATTATATCGTAAGCTTCATAACAACATAAGGGAAACAGTAGCTTGGCTCGCAGATTGGTATCACAGTTTTAGTGAAAGTAAGGATAAAGGTCATGCTAGAAAAATCGCTTTTTAAAACTGAGCCGAGCACATTTAGCTTCGTACCGGACTGTACGTGCTTTACTGATTAATAGAGTAAAACAAGAAAAAAAATTAAAAAAAACAACTCCTACTCATCCTGCATGTTGAAACTAAATAGAAGATAGTTGGGACACATGAAAGACATAGCAGATAGCAGTGAGATTCTTAACCGGCTGCAGTGGCCTGTCTAAACAGGATAGCAGTTAAACTTGCACTGTGACATGTCGGGTAAGACTTGTGGGTAGCGACTCAGTAATAGTACTAACAAGCTATGGTTTTAAACTGCACGTTTTTCTATTATAATTAGACATTAGTAGGTGCACAGGATTGAAACAGTAGTTAGCACGCCATAAAAGAAAACGTTTGTACGTGAATTGGAGGTAGAGTAGGTACACAGGGCTAGCTAATAGGTAAGACTTGCTGAACTGACATAGCTAACAGTGTAGTCACTATGCCATTAGGTGCTAGTTTAGGAGACCTCCTGGGGTGGGTGTTAGTGGCTATACCAAGCTCGGTTATCTTGCTCAACTTTAGAAAATTAGCCTATTAATAGTAGTAGGAAGACCTCCGTGTGTGTGGAATATTATGTCGGGTTAAGATGGTACAATAGAGTGCACAGTGTCTACTGGCTTCGATCATATGGGCATAACAAACATGGGCATTCTAATCATGGTTGGGTAAATTCCTGTATGTACACAGTCCAGAAGAGTGGAACTGTGATCCTATGCTGGTCTCTGGAGCTGTGGGGTTCTGCTTCTTGCAGTGGTCAGATATACAGGAGAAGGCGATAAGATGACAACAGCATAGGTGGTATGATCACCTATGATGATGTGGTGGGGTCAAACCACCTATGCTATTATCATAGAGCCTGCATAGAGTCAGCCTGCTCAATATATTGTGAGTATATTTTATTATATTTTATATACCAGTAATATTTTATTGAGAGCACTTTATTGTCCCCCTCCATAGAAGAAGAAGAACGATCGCCGGTGGGGGAACGGCAGCGATCGGGTTAGAACATGGGAGAGGGAGGGAAGGGGTTAATTTAAAACAAAAATGTAAATTTATTTTACGACCCCTCGAGGTACTCAGTACAGCCAGAGCATCGGAAGCCTGCTTGATGGCTTCTAATACTATGCCTCACTTCCGGGCTCAGCAGGATCATGATCACTCCCAGCCGCTCTAGCAGTATTTCAGCGATGCCTCGATGTCGTGCAATACCCCCACTGACTGCCTGGCTCCACAATGTGTCCTGGAAATCATGTCCAGCAGTTAAAAGAGGCTGCAACATCATGGTATGACAGCCCTGACAGAGAGCACTAATCTGTGCTCAAACAGTTAATTCAGGGTTATGGGAGATATGTCCTGGAAATCCTGTCTAGCAGTTAGCAGAGGCTGCAGCTGCGTGTCTCCATACAGTATCACAGTGCAGTGGCAGTATAAATATATAGTAGGGGGCTCACCCCAGGTGCACAGGGTATGAACCCTTCAGTGCAGGACACAGCCCTGATAGAGAGCACTAGGCTGCGCTCAAACAGTCCATTTAAGTTATGGGAGATATTCCTTTAAGCAGTATCCGGGAAATCCTACCCAGCAGGTAACAGAGACTGCAGCAGCCTGTCTCCATACAGTATCACAGTGCAATATAAATATATAGTAGGGGGCTCACCCCAGGTGCACAAAGCATGATAGAGAGCACTAATCTGTGCTCAAACAGTTAATTCAGGGTTATGGGAGATATTCCTTTAAACAGTATGTGCTGGAAACCGTACCCAGCAGCCTTTCTCCATACAGTATCACAGTGCAGTATAAATACTTCTATAAATGGCTTAATTCAGCATTAACCTGTAACCCCATGGAGAGGGCAGAAACACAATAAATAACATAGAACACAGCTGCACATAGTACAGAATCACAGCAAAGTATATTCAAATATAATACAGAAACAAGAGGAGAGGAGTAATACTCTGACCTGTCTGCTCGATGGATCAGCAAAGAATGAGGAAGTGGTGAGGTCACTATGCCTCATGTACTTCCTGCTCTTTTTTCAATGTGTTTCTTTACTGCCGTGGAGCTAGTAAAGATTAGTCAGAACGAGAGATTAGGCCAAATATGAAGCCTCCTGTCATGATGTAAAATTAGCTGCACCCTCGTATTGCAAACAAACCAGCACATTTCTATATAATTAGTGTTGACATCAGAGGAACACTATGGGGTTATTAGGTCCCCCATTCCCTCGGGGGCCCCCTCCCGCTGGGCTGAAGGGGTCAAAACTCCTTCAGCCACTTACCTTAATCCAGCACCAGGCTCCCTCAGCGCTGGTGACCTCTCCTCTCTGCTGATGGCAGCTCCCAAGTGCTTTCCTAATGGTATCTGAAATGACGCTGGACTCCAGGGTGAGTTCAATGCGATTTTCACACTGAGAATCGCGGAAACGGACTCCAGTAGCGGTCAGGGAGACAGTCACTAAAGGCTGGCTTAACCCTGCAATGTAAACATAGCAGTTTCTCTAAAACTGCTATGTTTTCAGCTGCAGGGGTTAAAACTAGGGGGACCTGGCACCCAGACCACTTCATTGAGTGGAAGTGGCAAGGGTGCCTATAGTGGTCCTTTAAAAAGACTAGTCCTTGATATACAGTTCTGGGATTATAATGACAGGAACCATAGTAGCAGTGTGAATGGTAAGGGTATATATAAACACCATTTGACACAGCACAATACCTCCTCACAATCAAGCAGTGTGGCAGGACCATTCTAAAAAGATGGAATCCACTGTGTAAGCTGAATCTCATGAAGCATGGGACCTGAGACAGTCTGCCCTCCTCTCCCATAGTGTCTCCTCTCCTTCCTTCTCCATGCTGCCCCCTCTCTTTCTTCCTCCATGTTACCCCATCTGTGGCGGTCACCCCGAGAGAGGAGGAGTATGTAACGGATACCTGGCACCCCTACTGGGTACCTCCGTTGAAGGATGCTCCTAGCGCTTCCTGAGGGCTCCAATCGCTCCACCAGACACCACAACCACTGCAGACCCAACAAACCACCGTAGCTTGGTTGGGGTCTTGCCGTCTCCTACCCACCCTGGACCTACGACAAGGCTCCAGGCTCCAGTGGGTGAACGTCTCCTCCAAGAGAGGGAAACAGGAACAAGCTCTTAAAAGAGCTTAGAAGTGATTATCCAAGGGAGCATGCAGAGCATAGCAATCCCTTGTAGTGATATAGAAATTCCCCCAATAAGAGACAAGACTCTAGATTGAGGGTGAAGAAGACCTGACTCTACTGGCACATACAGCCTCTTTTATTCACATTCTAGAAATATAGTACTGCCCACAGAGTTTGGAAATACAACCAATCAATCCGTACAATACACACAGACACTCCCACACAAAATCCTCCCCTCTGCCTGTGATATGATTACTGAACACAATGGTTAATATAATTATCACAGGCAGAGAAATACAGTATTATAAAACATATCACAAGGACCCCAAAACATGCAATAACCCCATAAAAATCTATTATGCCCAAATCAGTTCCTAGAAGGGCAATACATCTCAGGGCCATAGTCCCTCTCTCCATGTTACTCTCTCTCCCCCATAGTCTCTCTCTCCATGTTACTTTCTCTCTCTCCATGTTATATATATATGATGTATTGATTTGGTTATTGGTTTAATCAGCTGATTAGTGAAAGCATTACATTACTGATACTGTATCCTCTCCGCTGCTCACTGATTAATGATCTCTATCTCTCTCTCCGTTAGTCTCTCCCTCTCACTCTCCATGTTACTCTCTCTCTCTCTCCATGTTACACTCTCTCTCTCCATGTTACTCTCTCTCCATGTTACACTCTCTCTCTCTCCATGTTACTCTCTCTCTCTCCATGTTATATATATGATGTATTGATTTGGTTATTGGTTTAATCAGCTGATTAGTGACAGCATTACATTACTGATACTGTATCCTCCCTGCTGCTCACTGATTAATGATCTCTCTCTCTCCATGTTACTCTCTCTCTCTCCATATGTTACTCTCTCTCTCTCTCCATGTTATATATATGATGTATTGATTTGGTTATTGGTTTAATCAGCTGATTAGTGACAGCATTACATTACTGATACTGTATCCTCCCTGCTGCTCACTGATTAATGATCTCTCTCTCTCCATGTTATATATATGATGTATTGATTTGGTTATTGGTTTAATCAGCTGATTAGTGACAGCATTACATTACAGATACAGTATCCTCCCTGCTGCTCACTGATTAATGATCTCTCTCTCCATATTACTCTCTCTCTCTCCATGTTTCACTCTCTCCATGTTACTCACTCTCACTCTCTCCATGTTACTCACTC